TCCTAGCTACTCAGGAGGCTGAGGCAAGATAATTGCTTGAACCAGGGAGGTGGAGGTTGCAGTGAGCCGGGATCACGCCACTGCACTCCAGCCTGGTGACAGAGTGAGACTCCATCTCAAAAAAAAAAAAGAAAGAAAAGAAAAAGAAAGATGTACTTTCTTTACTCAGGTACCTTTACACAGGGCACAGGTAGCTTCATTATAAGCAGCCCCAATTCCTCGTGACTGGAGTTTCTTTTCGATGATGGTAAGATTCATCCCACTTTCAGAATAGTTAAAAACGGGCAAATGGGAGGTTGAGTATTTACCAGACCTGAGGTGGGAGTCTTGCAGCCGTCATCTAATTATGATCCACAGTGTGGATACAGGATGCCAGATATATAGTCATGCTAGTGAAATTGAGAGCATCAGTAACCCAAAATCAGTGGTTTTTCCTTTTATTATTCAGCCTATGGTGGTGAAAAAAAATGCTGGAACAGATCAGGGCACTGCAGGAAACAATGCAAAGATGGAGAAGCAGTGAAAGAAACATGCAAAAATCTTCGAGCCTGCTGCGTTCCATCTAATGAAGACCACAGGCGACTTCCTACGACATCTCCCACACCCTTGAGTGACTCAACACCAGGAATTATTGATAATATTTTAACAATAAGGTTCACTACAGACTACTTTGAAATAAGCAGCAAGAAGGACATGGTTGAAGAGTCTGAGGCGGGACAGGGAACTCAGACCTCTCCCCCAAATGTTCACCATACCTCATGACTTCTTCTCGGATGTCACTCACCCCTGTCCTCAGAGTGATAAACTAAGTCACATATAGATAAAACACCACAGTGACCTCCCACTCCCCACCAATATGTAATTCTATTAATAGAAACAGCTGTGTAAAGAAGTCTAAAATTTTCACTATTTCCAATGATAAACTCTTCAGTGCTCTTCTTGAAATGTCAAATTATTTCCACAAGTTTTAATCTATTTTTAGTATTTCTTGTTTGCTGGTGACCTAGGCACAACCTCAATAGCTTAGTTAGCTATTCCAACAACAATTTTTTCATGTGTCTTTCTGTCTTCTCAACAGGTGTCTTAATGGCAGCATAAGTGGTCATGATCAAAATTCTAAATCTTTGCATCTGTGAGAGTAGCTACTAGGACACTAAAAGCTTTTTTTCTAGAACAGGAGACACTTCAGGTGAAAGCATTCATTTTCCTACTAACCATGGCCTTAGAGGAAGGTTTTATCTGTCACCGTATCACTGTGGGAAATTGACTGTCCCAAGTGTGAGCTATGAAGACTCCTTTTTGCCCCAGTGTCTTTCGGGTTGAAATAGAAGCTGTCGAAAAGCTTCTATGGCTCTGTAGACCCATCTCTTTGACCAAGCCTTGATCACACATGGACATCCAAGGGTAAGGATGGCCCCTCAATTGTGGGTGAAAGGATGGGTCATTTGTCCACCTGATTACTGAGAAAAAAAAAAAATCTTCACATCCTGTCCCATCCACATAACTCTACAACAAACTTCATTGTTACAAATTTTCCAGTCTTGCTGTTCCCAAGAACCTAAACAACCAGCCAGTCCATTACCAGCATTCATGAATTACTGTAGATCCATACCTAGGCAAGCCTTCCTTCTGCTGGAAGGATTTCCCTTAACCACTGTCTTTTGGGCCACTGCCACATCAGGCTGTAATGCAGCACTTCTGTCTGGTGCTAGCATGTCATGCAGACCATTCCACAAACCTGGCCTTGCTTTTTCCTCCTTTATTAACTAATCATAGGAACTCCTCATGATACTATTAGTGTGTGATGAAGAAGAGGCAATAAAGCAGGAATGGGTGACATAGGCATCTGAACCACCTGCTTCTGCAGTTTATGCTTGCCAGACCTGCTAAGTTCCAGTTTTGAACATATTACTTTCATCTAACATTGGAAATTCTTCACAGGTCTAATTATATTACTCAAAGGGTTAGATAATACCTAATTCATGATGGGAAATTTGGGTCTCATTATTTTTTTAAGCTTGTTATTCCTGATAATTCTGAAATTTGAAGTCTTTGAAAGTCTGAATCTCTAGACTGTGATTTCTGCTGACCTTAATTCATGGTGCCTTAGTTCCTTGTGTATTTTGTGATTTGGGGCTCTGGTCTGTTCATTTTCCTGAGAAGTTTAGTTGACTAAACTAGTTGAGTCCTGAGTTAAAGGTCTACTCCTTAGTTTTCTTCTGTCTTTTTAGCACTACTAGTCTGGGACAACTTTAAGCTTGATTTTTTTTCATATGACCTATGTACTGTGAATTCAGGCTGAGAGACTATATGAGATGTACCTTGGGGTTATAAATTCTCAGTGAAGACTTTTTTTCTATTTACTGAATACTTAGGTTCAAAATCAGGCAATTTTCCTTGAAAATCTCTGGTGAAGGAAAAGGGATGTTGTATCTGCTTTATTTTTATACAGCATATGTAACACTTTAAGGACTGAGATTTATATAGGGATCTCCTACGAGACTCATATTTTTTCAGACCCTAGTCACTGCCTTCTCTCCCCTGCTTACCCCCACCTTGGCCAAAGCCATGGAAACCAAAGCTCAAGTTCACCTGATTCAGCAAGTGTCTTTGTGACAAAAGTCAGCTTCAGTCACTGCCTTCGAAAGAGTGTCCACTTGCATTTGGTTTTAATATTCTTTTTTTTCTTTCTTTTTTTTTTTTTTTTTTTGAGACAGAGTCTCGCTCTGCCGCCCAGGCTAGAGCGCAATGGCGCGATCTCAGCTCACAGCAACCTTCACCTTCTGGGTTCAAGAGATTCTACTGCCTCAGCCTCCTGAGTAGCTGGGATTACAGGTGCGTGCCATCGCGCCCAGCTAATTTTGGTATTTTTAGTAGAGACGAGATTTCACCATGTTGGTCAGGCTGGTCTCGAACTCTTGACCTCATGATCCACCCACCTCGGCCTCCCAAAGTGCTGGGATTACAGGGGTGAGCCACTGTGCCTGGCTGGTTTTAATATTTTTGGCCTTACTTTCTTGCAAGGTTAAAGATGTTTTAAAAGTTCTGTTGTATATTTTAAGTACATTTTTTCCGCTGTTTTCAGTGGGAGGATCAGCCTGGGTTCTTCAACCAGTATTCTTCCTGGAACAGTGGTTCAGAACCAATACTTTCATCCAGATCATAAACTTTGTTGTTGGGATAGGTGGCAGCACCAGAGGAAGAAGAAAAAAAGATCATTGTCAAAGGATGAAACTATCACTCAATGTCTAAAACCAAAATGCTGAAATGATTGCTTTCTTTTTTTTTGAGGTGGAGTTTTGCTCTTGTTGCCCAGGCTGGAGTACAATGGCCGAATCTCAGCTCAGTGCAACCTCTGCCTCCCAGGTTCAAGCAATTCTCCTGCCTCAGCCTCCCGAGTAGCTGGGATTACAGGAATGCGCCACTGTGCCCGGCTGATTTTGTATTTTTAGTAGAGATGGGGTTTCTCCATGTTAGTCAGGCTGGTCTTGAACTCCTGACCTCAGGTGATCCACCCACCTCAGCTTCCCAAAGCACTGGGATTACAGGCGTGAGCCACCACCCCCGGCCTGCTTTCTTAAGAACAGGAGAGCCATGCTGGTCCATCATAAGCTCCTTCATCAGAGCGAAGTGTTGAACTTACACAGCATTTGGGGAACACATTTTGAGGGAGTTGTGTTGGCTACAGAGGTGGGAATTGGTTAATGACAATTTAGAAGTGTGTACACTGAAATGAATTCAAAGCTGATTGACATATTCAAAGCACAATGCTGTCACTGACAATTAGCTTTCAGAAGTGTGTTCACCGAAGCAAGTTGTCATTGACCATAAAAAATGTTTAAAACATTTCAAGGTATGTACTTGTTATCATGACCATAGGACTGTCAGTCTTTTCCTAGGAATGTGGAGAGTTTTTATTGTCAGAAGAGAAGAGTAACCCCAGAAGAATCCAACGAGACAAATAACAGATGAGGAACTCCAAAAGATGATGGAGAAGGGGCAGCCTGAAAGTTAGGAAGAAAACAAAGAGTGAAATCACAGAACCCTAGGCAGTTAAGGTTTTCAAGGGGGGAATAACCTATAGTGGAAATGCTGCACAGAGGCAGATTGAGATACAAGTTGAAGAACATTCTGAAACTTTCAAAAAGGAGATCCAGTTACACTTGTTTATGTTTTTGTTTAACTTGTGGACAAAGACTTATAGACAGGTGCAAAAACTAAATCATCTTTTCCAACCCAGAACTCATGGTTTAGTATGAGTTTTGATACATATAAGAAGGCATATTATGATGAAAAAAAAAAAAGGAGGTCCACTGGTGACCTTGACCAGAGCCAGTCCAATAGCAAATAAGCACAAAGGCAAATTGTAATGAGTTGAGGAGAATCAGAGAAGTAGAGAAAGATAATGGGTAAGTACTACTCTACTTTTGACAGAATTTAGAACTGTTAGTAGAAGGTAAGATATAGAAAGTAAAATTTGCATTTTATATTACAAAGCTGGTGTTAGTTGTCATTGGGGACATAAGCCTCTTAGGTTTTGAAGAATTAGAGGACCTTGACTATCCACAACAACAGCACCCAATATTGAAAGACCTTCTGCAATAACCACCAAACAGACCCTTCAGTCTCACAGCTTGAAACCAACACAGCTTATTCCACATTACAGCAGCTCTGTTGGTTATAAAGTTTTTTCATGAACTAGGCCAAAGTTGTCTACAAGACCTCCACCTACTGCCCTATGTATTCATCCCACTGGTTAAAGACCCTCCCTGAGTTCTACATGGCACAGATTAAGTCATAAATCTGCCTAAACCCTTCAACCCTCCCTTATTCGATTCATTCTTCCCCCTTCCTCACTGGCTTGTCTAGCTTCTCTGTAATTGTTTTCCCAGTTTTCCAGCCTTCTCTCTCACGGAGCTTATCCAGAATGAGACAGACATTGTCACCATGCAAAGCCTAGTCTCTCACTATGATTTTCAGTGGATCAAAGACAGACAAGGGTAGCAGGTACACGAATTTTAATGAGGGGGGTTGACAGCAGGTCTCTGCCCAGAGAGGTTGAGAATGGTAATCACCAGCACTCAAGGTAGTCTTGGCCATTGCTTCTCATAAGACCAATCGGTATTTTCCTCTTTGCCGGAAATGCTTATCCTCATGTAGGACTGGAGGCAGCAGGCCTGATAATTTCTGCAATAGAGGTAGGGCTGTTCATTCTTTTTGCAAGAGGCCCTACAAATTCCACTGTTACCCATGCATCGAAGGATGTGGCGTTTGCCTGGCAAAAGAAAAAAAAATACAAATAGTTAACTTCTACCTAGGAGTGACATAAATCTGATAAGTCGGGAAGCATCATAAAAACCTAAACGGGGAGCAGGGAGAAAACCTAAAGGGAAATAGTGACTTCTACTTCCAGAAAAAAAAGAGTCAATGTATTTTTCTCTAATTGTCCTGCTAAGTTCGGTTTAAAACCCAGGGTGTGTGTGTGTGTGTGTGTGTGTGTGTGTGTGTGTGTACTCTGAAAGGTAAAGTAAAGAAGAACAAGGCAGGGACCTCAGGATCTAAGGAAGGACACAGTCATGAATTCCCTGGGTTTTCTTTTTGCCTCATCGATCCCAGACTTGTGCTGGAGAGACTGACAACCTGGAAATACAAACGAGTACAGACATAGAGTCCCAAGGAAAGTCTCCTCTCTCTAGCCAAAGAACCAGGAAAGGTCAACCCAGCAAGAAAGAACAGTTTAGACAATAACCACTCCGCTCCAGGAAAAACCAAAGACAAAACTACACTCCCACTCATACATCCACCAAAGAAGGCTACGTGGGGAGCCTCAAATTCTGCCCTTTCCACTCTGTAAGGAGGTGTAACCTCCTAGAGTGGAAGGACCCAAGTGGGGAGCGGGGACTATTATCACTGCTGGATGGTCACAAGGCCAATCACCACCATGCAGTGTCGATAGGAATCATGTGGGGAGCCTCGACTTCCCCTATCTGGTGGGAAGAAGGCATCCCTCCCTCCACTTCCCTGATGCGGTGGTGACAGAAGGAGCCTAGTGCAGAGTCAAGACTTTCACCACCACACAGTACTAACAGCGCCACCACTCCCTGAGATGTGACTTGGAGGCCACACAGGGAACAAAATATCCCTCCCCATCCCAACCAAGGCAGTACCAGAGGAAATACACCTGGACTTCCGCCCACCTGGCAGTATCCAGGTAGCACCCCACTGTCCTCACCAGAGCCGTGTCAGAGGAGACAAGCCAACAAAAATCATTGAAATATGATCCAGCATCTCATAA